CATTGGCCGCCATTGCGGCGCCCTCAGGCGCATCAAGGCAACAAGGCCCTCTCACGCGAGTTTGAGCGTACCCTTCTCCCATCCGAGAGTCTGACTTATGCTTCTTTTGCCTTTCTTACTCTCAGTCTAATCCTTTGGTTAGGAGAGGAAGGCGGCAGGCCGGATTGCAACCAGTAGGTCCGCGCCAAGGCCTCTGTGGGAGGTTGCCCCACCGATTGCGGGAGCTTTGCCGGAACCCAGGCGGGGTTCTGGAGGCAGGGAACTTCAAGTATAACCTCGATAACATGTGTGATCCCTTCCCCTACGTGTTATCCCTGGGCTATCTGAACATAACTTTGTGAGGTTATTACTTCTTATTTTGGTTATGTCTGTCAAGACATGCATTTTGAAAGTAAATGAACAAGTATGTGTGAGGTCAGATATTACTGTGTGAATGTTGACAAAGATGAACCTGGGGGAAGGCGGGCTGAAGGTTGTTTTGCATGTTGACTGGGTCAAACCAAGGCTGAGCTCCCCTATGTTGGTGTGGGCTCAGTGCTGTGTTTAWTTTTGTGTGTTGKGMTGAATTGTRACTTTGAGGGCTGGATCGATTCCTATGTTGGACRGTTCAGTCGCTGTTTTTTTTTTGGGCTGAYTGTTGACTWTGAGGGCTGGATCGATTCCTATGTTGGACGATTCAGTCGCTGTTTTCTTTGGGGTTTCTGAACAGGAGGACGGGCGCCCTATGTTGGGATGTCTCAGAATCCTGATGTTTATTTGTGAGTTGTTGAAAGCAGAGTTGGGGTTATTCTATGTTGCGTGGACCCAACTCTGTGCGTGTTTTTTCTGAGGGAGATAAAGGCATAAGACTGGTCGTATCCCTATGTTGGGGCGGTTCAGCCATGAGCCATGAACAGTAAAGTCATCTGAAGTATACAACCTTGATATACTATACGAACCTATATGGTCTGACAGACCGGGCGCCCTATGTTGGGAAGCCAGTAAGTAAGTCAGGTAGAACAAAGTAGAAAGGAAAGCAAGTGGACAATACAATGAAGGTAATTCGGGCAGGCTGGTCGTATCCTTATGTTAGGGTGGTTCGACCTTATGCTCGTAATAACATAAAGGGCAGAGAGTTAGTATAAATCTGCTTTTATTTTTCCCTTTTAAACACGGGGCAGGGTTGGATGTCTCCCTATGTTGAGTAGGTCTAACCATCTGTCTAATAAGAGAGAAATCTATAAAGTTTGTTCAAGTGCATTCATGGTTGTATAATCTGTCGTTGCGGAGGCTAGGCATATCCCTATGTTGGGGTGTTTAGTCATCCGTTGTTATGGTAGTTCAGGCAGATCGGGCTATATCCCTATGTTGGGGCAGTCTGGTCGCAATGCCTTACGTAATTAAAYTGTTTMAGCAAGTACTAGGTYGTATCCTTATGTTAGGGTGGCCTKGTAGTATGCTCTTGTCGTTGAAGTGATGTAGGTTGGTCGTATCCCTATGTTKGGGCGGCTCAACCACTCGTCGTTCGTATTTGGTYTTAGGYAGGTTAGGTTGTATCCCTATGTTGGGGCGGTCTAATCCTATGCCATATGTAACTTGTATAAGTTGGTTAGGYTGTATCCTTACGTTAGGGYWGCCTAGTTTATGCTTCATGTCGTTAGTCAGGCAGAAACCAGGCATATYCTTATGTTAGGGTGTCTKGYCATATGCCTTRTGTCTTGGTTTATRTTGTSYCGGCTGTATCCTTATGTTAGGGCAGTTGGACATACGTTCTTTTGTCGTGTGTGGGYTGTATCCTTATGTTAGGGCAGTCCAATCRTGTRTACCCTTTACTTGTTTACKTAAGCAGGTCAGCCATACCCTTATGTTAGGGCCTTGTYTSATCTTATGCCATAGGAGAGGGGGATGCTAAAAGGGAAGAATAGAGTGACCAAACGAACTACTTGGCTGAATCCATGTGGGATTGTGAGAGATGTTTGCGTTTGCATGATTGTGGGCTCTCACTTGGGGCATCTCTTGATAGAGTAGTTGTTGTAAATGTTCGTCGAGTGCTAGAGCCATAGGTAGGTAAGGTGGATGATGGGAGGGAAGCTTGGGATGAGATAGGACTGACCCTGCTGGGGATTAGGGTCAGCATTGGTTCATGGTCTCATTCAAAAGGCATGCAGACCAGTGTTGAGCCTAACTTGCGAAGCAGATGTCAGAAGTAAGTCCCAAGTATAGTTTTGCTTTGCAGCTTGTTCCTCATCTTTGTATAAATCTTGGCAGCCTACTTTTCCTACGGGAAGCGCTGTCGAAATTTCTGCAAATCTGAGGAAGTTAGTCATTTTTGAAGTCGTATAAACTCTGGGAAGACATTTTTCCTACGGGAAGCGCTGCCGAAATTTTGCAAAATTAGAGGAGTTAGAATATTTTCAGTCAGGTAGAGGAGATAGGAGTATTCCTCACTCATGCTGAACCTAGGAGCAATTTCTCTTTGACCTGTGCTGTGGGGCAGGCTGTACGCTTATTTCGAAGGTATGACTTTGTCAGCCTGACTACTCTTCTGTTATCACTGATAACAGGTCGGTTGCCGGTTCGTCGGTACACGACTCAATCTTCCATTTTCTTCTGCCTCTCAACCTAAAGCCTTGTCCCTGGCTGGTTTTCATGTTTCTTGGGTTTTCACCCAACTTCTTTATAAATGGGCATTTCTTGAGAACTGAGTATCTTTGTTTGGAATGGTGGGGGAATGGTTGGGCTTGTGTGCATAAGGCAGGGTATGAGTTGCACAAAGTTGGAAAGTTGACCCCCTTTAGTGTGTGCGCTGTTATTTGACTCTTGTGTGTGATCACAGGTATGTTTGAAGCATGTTGAATGAGTCTGATGTTCTGATTGTATTCAGTTCAGGCGGGTAAGCCACGTAAACTATTGGGAAAGTGTACTATCGCACAACTCTTTGCCTGATTAATCTCCTTGTCTATGTATTGAGGCTAGGCTCACGCTCGCATAGCCCTCACCCGGCTGTGCGAGTGCACACCTATGCCCTTTCTGTATCCCTGTGTAATCTAGCTAGGGGGAGGATAAATGTCTGAGCGTGAGTTTAAGTGTGGCAAGGGTGCGCGTGACTGTGGTCCTAAGATTCGGTCAACCCCAGGGAAAGCCCGCGCGCGAACATGCAACGCTCTGAGCGCTGGGTTGCTTGGGCACCCGGATTGAGCCCTACCCACGCGCGACCCTTCGCGTGACTTGTCAAGAATTGTGTGATGAGGCGGGGATCGCGCGAGAAGAGGAAGGATCCCTTCCCCTACTCCCGCGCAACCCACCTTTCCTTTTTTTTGAGTTCTGTAGACGGACGTTAGTCCTTGGGCCAGGAATTCAAGGTCCTTGTCAACAAGGACCCCGAACCAAACCCTGCGGCGGGGGATTTTTCTCTCATACAGGGCCTAAGTGCCCTGCCCACCAGGCCGCCTAACCACAAGGCTAGGGGTGCCCTGTGGGCCGAACGGCGTGTCCTTCAGTCGTTCAATATCGTGAGGGGCGAACCCCCAYGATATATTCCTTCAGCCATTYAATATCGCGAAGATATTTCAGCGACCGCTTGAGTTGGACAACATTGYTGGTYGATATGGGAAGGCCTAGTACCCGTGCGGATTATATTGAATCCRGCACGMGGCGCCGACYTGACTCCCAYATCGAAGAGTTATTTATGGGTCTGACGACGGAGACGGAATCGCATGATGGGCAACAACGCGAAGAAGTGCGTAAGGATTCCACGTTCGAGCGCTCAGGCGCGCCAAACGTCGGTCCGCTTAGGGGCCAGGCTTGGGATTTGTTTGTGCACGGCTTCGTGCTAGCCTACCTTTAAAGGGTATCGCGGCGGACTACGGGCTAAGCAGGGTCGCTCGCCCTGACTAAGGCCTTGGACCGCTTCCTTCTTAAAGCTTTAATGGTTGGGCGCTGTAGCCCGTGGCAGCCGTCAAAGTCAAACCCCTTGCTCTTTGGCTGCCACGACAGCTTGAAGCTGTCTACTCAACCCCTCTGCACAGGGTGCAGAAGAGGGTGTGGTCCTCAACCGCTCATGGCGGTTGTCTAGCGTGGAGAGATTAACCCTTGACGCGCTTGTCAGCCGACACTTGAGTGTCGAAGGAAACCCTCAAACCAACTAAGGGTCACCCAGGCTTGGACGCCACATAGTACCCCATCACTACAATCATTTGTGTAAGCATGCATGACTGGTTGGTATGAGAAGGCCGTACGTTCGCGGGGTCCTTTATACTAAGTCCAACGCGCAATGGCTACCTAGCGTTTGTGTTGAAGAGTTATGGGTCAAATACCAAAGGGACTGGGAGTTGTATTTTTTCTGTTTTGCTTGTGTGTGCGTGTGTGCGAGTTACTTGATTTTTGTTTTAGGGTGGTGTAGCGCGTGGTGTGCGTGAAGCGTCCTAGTCGACCGACGTCAAGTCGAGCTTGGGACTTCAGCCCCCCAGTGTCGTCGGCTTGCGTACGGGTTCGATTTCGGGCGTATACCGCGAGTAACCCTTATGCTACAGCAAACGAGAAACGCCCTCGGCTAGGCCACCTCTGCAATTGCATTATAAAAGTTTTCGCATGTGGTTCAGTAGCTCGGCAGGGATACGCCCACCAAAGGGATGGTGACAACTCCTGCTGGTGGAGGTAGCGGTGCCTCGCGTGACCCTGTCCTGTCGTAGGGGCGCGTGAGAGGTACGGCTGGTGCACTCGGCCGGAGCAGCAACACGCTCTTCCGCGACAAGTCCTGCCAAATCCTGCGTGACGCGGCCGGGAGGGTCCCCGTGTGGGACCGATGCGCTCGACAGCGGGGACTATGAAGGAGGAGCTATTACTCATCGAGTCGGATGACGAAGGGCAGGAGGGTGAAAGAGAGCCGGCCATAGTCATCCTGGAGAAGATGGAGGATCTGCTGGAGAAGATGGGGAGGTATCAGCAGAAGTTGCAGACCCTGTGTGAAGAGGCCCTAAGATGGGAAGCCAACAGCCAGAGGTCTTCCTTTATGACTTCGGACCTGAGCCTTCGTCAGGACAACAAGGGTACCAACGAGTTGCGACCGTAGGAACGGTCCCTAGGTCGGGTATGACCTACAGACCCCCCACGTCGCATGGGAGGGTGTCGCAGGCGGCACGGACCAGGAGCCAAAATAAAGCCAGACCTAGCCAAAAGCCCAGTCAGAAAGTGGTGGAGGTCCCGGAGGAAGAGGATGAGGATGACGACGAAGAGGATGAGAGGCTCCGACAAGAGGAGGACCAGCGGGCGGAGCTGAGGACCAAAAAGAGAGGAGCCCGGGAGGAGGCCGATCCAAGCCTGCCTGACAGCGTGCCTAAGAGGAAGAAGTACGCGGTTCGGATGGAGGAATGTTTTGATGTGGAGCGGATGGTGGACAAGCTCTTGGAAGGCCATAATGACCTGTTGAACCTAAAGGACATCCTGGCGTCGGCGCCAAGGCTCCGTGGTGAACTGAAACGGCGACTCTCGCAAAGGTTGGTGCCTAATGTCCATCTGAGTACGGTCCTGCCCAGGGAGGTAGAGTGGACTGAGGCAGGGACAAGGATGAACTGGAAATGTGTGGCGTGCGGGTAAGTGGATTTGGTGATAAAGAACCAGAAATGCACCGGGATGGTGGACACGGGCGCAGAGATAAACATCATCAGGGAAAAGGAGGTGGTGATGCTGGACATGGAGATCGACCTCTCGGACCATGGCATGCTGCACGGCTCTAACTGCAAGGCCTCTTTTTGCGGCACGGCGTCCAATGTGATTATAGAGATTGGGAAGGTGCGGGAGAGGACTTGTTTCTTCGTTATGCCCAATGTCGATCATTTCATTCTTCTGGGGCGGTTGTTCCTGTGCCGAACGGAGATGTTGATTTTCAATAAGCACGACGGGACAATGATCCTGCTCCTATGCGATCCAGCGTGCGAAAACTACGAAGTTATCACCTGTCGAAACACGGGGCCGGGGAGTGGAAGGAACAGGCCTAATCTCGGCTCGTTCACCTTTGAGGAATCGGAGAACGAGCGAAGGCGGCTTTGGGAAGTGTCCGAGGAAGAAGATAGGGCTAAGGTGCTGACACTGAGCCTCACAGATGTGAACAAGGCCATGGAGGTGGTGTTGGCATACGACATGGCGGATCCAGAGACCATTAAGGCATTGAGGGAGCAAGTTTTGGAGAACCCTCAGGGAGGAGATTCGGAATTGGTGTATCGGCTTCCAGGAGGGAGGGGAGGGCCTGCAATGGCCCAGGCCCGAACGACAAGTCGGCCTTTTTTAGGGGAGGGCTTAAGCAGGGCTCCCAAAGGCGGTACAAGATCGTAGATAAGAAGTGTCGCCCAGTTCCCGTGCTCGTCACAGAGGACGAGGAAGCCTACTACGAGCAGGAGCGAGGATTGATACGGCGTATGCGGTAGCACACGTTGGTCGGGCCGTGCCGTATCAACGACGAGAATGGGGGAGGGCTGATAATTGGTGAATCTGGTTTCCTGTCACCCCAGGAGAGGGCGCTGATGGTGGAAACGATGAAGAAGAGACATCGCGCATATGCGTTTAATAACGACGAGCGTGAGAGGTTGGATATGGATAAGATTCCAATGATACGGATCCACACCGTCCCACACGAGCCATGGAATCTAAGGGGTGCGCGATATCCAAATCCGGATAAAGAAAAGAAGGTGGTGGACTACCTGGATGGCAAGATGCGGACGCACGTGGCCGACTACTCCAGTGGGCCGTATGCCTCCCCTTGGTTTTGTTTTATCAAGCCAAATGGGACGCTAAGGTGGGTACAGGACTTGCAGCGATTGCATGTGGTGACAGTGCGGGACGCGGGAGGGTTGCCTAACGCGGACGCCCTGTCGGAGTCATGCGCAAGAAGGTCTATAATTTCGTTTGTAGACCTCTATTCTGGATATGACCAGTTTCCTGTATACCCGCCAGATAGGAATGGTACAAAGGCACATGATTAGAGTCATGCAGACGGTTAGTCCACATATCACCCAGCCCTATATCGATGATCTGGCGGTCAAAGGCCCAAAGGAGAAGGAGGAAGACGAAGTGATGCCTGGGGTGAGGCACTTCGTTTGGAAGCATGTCCAGGACATCGATCAGGTTCTGAGCTTACTAGAGAAATACAACCTGACGGCGAGCGGCCCCAAATCGAAGCATTGTATGAAAGAGGTCACGATTCTAGGTTTTGTCTGTAATGAGAAGGGGCGAAGGCCGGATATAAAGAAGACAAACAAGATCCTTGAGTGGCCGATGCCCTTCCGCTCGATAACAGACGTGAGGAGTTTCCTTGGGACATGCGGATTTTGGAGGAGCTTCGTGAAGGATTTTACCACGAAGACGGAGTATTTAAGGAAGTTGGTGCGTCAGAACCAGGAGTGGGTCTGGGGCGAAGACCAGGATAAGGCGGTCGATAGGATGAAGGGAGAGTTTAAGGAAGGAGGCTTGATGTTGGGAGCACCAAACTATGAGGTGATGGAGGAAAGACCATTCGTTATTGAGACGGACGCTGGGCCAACTGCTTTGGGAAGGGTTCTGATTTAGGCGGACACCGAGGGAAAGGAGAGGCCATTAAGGTTTGAAAGTCGCACCCTCAATACGACTGAGAGGAACTACTCTTTGTTTAAGAAGGAGGCACTGACGGTACTCCATTGCCTGAGGACCTTTCGAAACTATGTTTTCGACAGGAGGCTCATTTTGAGGGTGGACCCTACCGCACTTGCATGTTCCCTGAAGAATTATACTACATCGGACCCAACCGTCGCGAGATGGTTGACCTACATTTGGATGTTTAATTTCGAGTCGGAAAGGATCTCAGGGAACAACAACAGGGCAGATGGGTTAAGCCACATCAACTGGGACGGATCGGACCAGGAATCGATAGAAAACACCCCGCCAGTTGATGGGTTTTTGGATCAAGAAGAGGACGTCCGCCTTCATATAAACGAATGGTCCCTACGAGTACCTAGTTGTGTCAGTCACCCCATATGGCTAGCGCGTAAGGGATACGAGCAAAAGGATGAGTTGGTCCTCAAGCCCTTCTAGGAGGAGGACCCGTGGGGAAGCAAGGATGCTGGCTGGATGATGAAGTTGGCATTGGCAGGTACACACAGTCTGGTGGAGGAACTGAGGACGATAGAGGAAGGCCCCACTCGGGTAGAGGAGCATGAACAACTAATGGGAGGGATGTATCTGCTCACTAATATGTTCCTGCAAGGAGACTTCGACCGGGGGGGCTCATTCAGTCATGAGGAAAGTGAAATTCTTATTCCTGAAAGTTAGGACGATGAGTTCGACGAGGGAGAGATCAAGGAGGTGTTTCGGGCGGAGGAGTATGATGGAATCTACCGGGAGTTGGGGCTGCTTCTATCATGTGAGATAAGGGATGGGGACGCAATTGCCAAAGCGCAGAATATGAGGCACCTCTACGTAGTAAGAGATGGTCATCTGTTTATAAAGCGGCAAGTCGGAAATCCCAAAAGGATTGTGTGTGGGAGGAACCGGCAGATCGATGTTATAGCAGCCCTACATGATGGCATAGTAGGAGGGCATAGCAAGAGGGCACAGAGGGATGTGTACCTTGCCAGGAGAGGTCAGCGCAAAGGCCTGGAGAGCCCATGCACCCAAGGTTAGAGAGGGAAGTGGGTGCGGTCGTACACCTGGACCTATTGTTTATGCCATCTGGAGAAAATTGGTGTAATTACATCTTCGACGCACGGGACAACCTTATTGGGTTTGTGGACGGTCGGGTTATCCAGACAAAGACTGGCCCAATCTTGGAAAATTGCATCGAAGAGTATTACCTGCGTTATCCCTTTGTCAAAGAGTTCGTGATGGACCGAGGATCGGAATTCACCTGCAATGAGGTGCGGACTTTGCTTGCGGGGTATGGCGTAGTGGTTAACTATACTACGGCCGCGCACTCTCAAGCGAACGCACCTGTGGAGAGGGGGCACAGTACCATCACGAACCTCTTGGCTAAGTGGACAGAGGGCAAGCCTGGTCAATGTCCGAAGTTCCTACGAGCGACTTTCTTCGTAGAAAACGTTATAGTAAAGAGGACTACCAAGTACGTGCCAACCACGCTGTGGTATGGGAGGCATGCCACCTTCCCCATAGAAAGTTTTATGAAGACGTGGAGGCGCCAGGACTTGGAAGTGGACTTGTCCTTTTAAGAGTTGCTCGATATTCGGGCGTGGCAAGTGGGAGCTGCTGAGGAAAGGTTGCGAGAGGCCGCTGGTCAGGTAGAGACGAGCCGCATGGAGGACAAGATGAGATGGGACCAGATGGCACGAGTAAGGAGGGAGTCGTTGGCAGTAGGGGACGTCGTGTTACTATACGACTCCTCCCTGGAGAAGCAATGGTCGAGGAAGCTCGACAAGAGATGGATGGGTCCCTATAGAATCTTGCGATGTGGCGAATTTGGGGCCTATCAGATCGAGGAGCTGGACGGGAAAAGATTGGGTGTCAAGAACCAGGTTAAAGAAGTTTGTGGCCAGGGAATAGGTAAAAAGCTTTACATTCTTCAGAATGAACTAGTCTTTGAGGTGTTGCATGCTATGGTGGGGGCAGGTAGGGGAGTAGGAAAGGGCATGTGTGTTGTTATGAAACCCGATGGGCTGATGGCTAACCTTGTTGTGTGCCTGCTTGCTTCTCTCACATGATGTGCAGGTCTGACTTTTCGAAGACAGCCATGCATAGGGGCGAGAGGGGCGCACGGCCACGACAGAGGCCTCTGGGGGCATCAGGAGGGGATGACTCGCGTAGACCATCTGGGAGAGAGTCCACGCCAGTCTTCGACGATGATAACATATAAATTTTTCTGGATGCCTACCAGGTTCATGCAGCACGGGAGGGGTGGTCTACCTTGGAGAGGATACGGCACCTGAGGGGAGTTGGGCGCTTTGAGGAGCCTATCGCGCATATTCGAGAGGAGGCTTTGACCTGGCTGGATGTAGAGGCGAGGATGCAGATGCTGAGGGCTTCGCCATTGGGACGGGATGGGCTGCCTATTTGACTGGAAGAAGGCAACGCGGAGAAGTTCATTCCGGCCTATGAGCAATATATGCGCGACCAGGGGACTGGGCAGGAGGAGTGGATGCAGACGCTACCCCTCTGGACGCGGAGGGCGGAGAGGCCACTGGCGAGACAGATTTGGGATAGGGCGCGTGATTGGGAGGATTGTCAGGCTCAGTTGAGACAGGCATTTCGACGACTGGAGCCCGAGAGACCGGGGCCCAAGGTGGAGAGATGACAGAGGAGTAAGAGGCCACGGGATCCGGAGGCAAGAGGGGCTACTTTGACTAGGGGAGGCCGAAAGGCCTTGGCACAGCGAGAGGGGTCAGCGGAACCCACCCAGACGATGGAGCCAGTTCAGGCCACTGGGCCAGCCCAGGTAGCGGAGCTACCCCCTACCCACGAACTCGAGCAGGTGGAATTCCGCCGGATTACGGGCAGTGACCTACGGGGCCCGTCGCCAACACTTCCAGAGGAGGGGGAGGCTGTACTGTTGAGGACACCGCTCGACAGCCTGGAGGCCCACCTCGATGCATCTCAGTGGAGGACGTCACAGCTGGGAGCGGATCAGAGCAAGCCAGCGCAGTACGAGCCAGCAGAGGATGAGCCAGAGGCGGAGCCGCGTGGGCCAGACGAGCCGCGGACTGAGGGGGTTATTACTGTTGGGAACGACACCCCCCCTCCTATTCCGATCCCGGAGCAGGCGCCGCCGTATTGGCCTGAGGGGATTCCCGAGCCAGACAGTGAGGAAATGTCAGTACCTCCATCGGTGGCTACTACGCCACCTCCGACGCAGGCGGAGTGAGGGGAGAGCGGGAGGGCTAGGACATCTACTATTGTGGCACCACAACTAGCTGAGCATGCAGCTGAGCCCCTGGACACTGAGATGCCATCATCCGAGGAGCTACCGCCAGGGTTGCCGCACGCAGAGGAGGGGGTGAATGCTGGAGTTCCAGTACGGGACGCCTGGGGGATGCAAGCGGAGAGACCACCAAGGGAGACGGCGGAGGAAAAGTTTGCAAGAGTACAGGTACGCCTCGAGGAGATATACCAGGAAAAGGTCAGGATGGAGGCCGCAGGGGAAGCGCCGAGGCCACCAATCGACCCCCCGACAATTGAGCAGAGGATTGGCTAGGCTTGGGCCAGTTACGAGGGTAAGAGAGATGCTGCCCGCTTGAGATCGCGAGAGGCGGGGCAGGGGGACATGAGGGTGGATGAGGCGCAAGAGACTGGGGACCTGGGGTTCTCAGCCACTAGGATGGAGATAGAGCGCGCAGATAGGAGGATACACGAGGTGGCAGTCACGTCCTTCCAGCGGTACTCCATGCTCAGTGATGAGTTGCCGGCCTCGAGGTCAGAGGTGGAGCAGTTGTCCGCCGAGTTGGCGGAAGAGAGGGCAGAGAACCAAGCGTGGAGGTCCCGCATGGAAGCCAAGGAGGCGAAATGGGAGAAGAGGCTCCAGGACATGGCAGCAATCGTGGAGAGGCTCTCGTCCACCAAGGTGGTCGACTGGATAGAGCAGAGTCAGTATGGTATCCACGGAAAGGAAGTACAGGGGCTCTTTGGCCAGGGAGGGACGACAAAGCCACCTCAGCACAGAGGAATGGGGAAGGTATTACTGGACCCAACAGAGGCGTCAGCAAGGCGGGAGACCGAGGAGGGGAGGTTCAACTTCAAGACGCCCATGGAGTTGGCCTCGCAACAGGCCACCCCTATGACGATTGAGATCCCTGAGAGCGAGCCGGCGCAAGGACCCCAACCTCCATTGGCGGAAGGGGGCCCCATGAAGGAGTCCCCTACGATCCTTTTGGAGGTGCAGGAGGGCACCCTTACAGGGGCAACAGCGTTTGCGGAGCCTGAGGTGATGGAGGGGGGGGCATCTCGCTTGGATGAGTTAGTGGCGGCCATAGAGCTGGAAATGCCATCAGGAGGACCTCAGAGACAGGAGAGCCCGGAGCGTGTGCCGGAGGTGGGGGAGTTGAGGACACAGTTAGGCTCCTGGGCTACAGGGGCTGGCTCAGGGGAGCACATCTCATAACAACAGCAGGAGGTTATGAGCGAGTCAGTGGCTGCGGTGACTCCCCAGCCTTTAGACCCGCGTAGGGGCGAGGCGACGAGCGTGATGGGAGGGGTCTGTGAGGGCAGGCCACAGAGACTGGACACTCCGGCGTACTGGCCTGAGGGAGACGAAATGCGAGCCGAGCCAAGTACCCCGATGTTGGAGGCGAGACCGGCGGAATCATGGAGTATGCCCCAGAGCCATGAGGTGAGCAGGGAGACCAGTGAGACGCCGTCACTGCCAGAGTCCCAGAAGAAGAAGAGGAGATGTTAGAGGAGGTCGGATGACCAGTGCTTCTTCTGCAAGCATGTCGTTCACAGAGCTCTTGAGTGTCCGAAGTTCCTTAAGGACAAGGCGGCTGGGAGAGTGACAGAGAGTGGTGGGAGGATGTATGATAGACAAGGGCGAGTGGTGGAGCGAGCTCCAGATGGGGGTAGGGCACAACTATATAGACAGAACCAGGAGGTTATGAGTGAGTAGGGGCTGGTCTGTCTATATGACAGTAGGACTAGAGCTCCTCTGTACGCAGAGGTCGGGTTGGGGGTGTATATACTCTGAGTCAGTTGAGTGAGTTTTAGGGGTGTGCACGTTTGAGTCCGCCGAGAGAGTCCTGTCTAGTTGTGCATACATAGTGGCAGTGCTTAGTCAGGTTTTGAGTCTTGTGTATAATACGATCTAGGAGGTGAGATTCAGCTGTGTGATACCAGTGACTATGTAACTTTCGCATTAGTTGTGGAGGGTTAAAACCCTTACTTATATTTTTGTGTGGATCCTAGGAACCCATAACACTTGAGTTACTTAGCAGAAGGGGACAGTGGACTGAGTGCCTGGGTTGTTCGCGAGGCAGACATCCTATTTCTAAATACATCCTACGGGTTGTATATTGAGGGTTTGAGTTGAGTGTTGTATTGAGACTTGAGGGAGATAAATTGCTCCTGAGTACATTTTGATCCCAGACTCCGTGGGATTTACTCTTGTGGCAATCACGATCACTCTCACACATGTGGCTTTATCCCAATGTATGATGGCTTTGTGTGAGGGATGTGTGGGATACATCTCATGTACTCTGTACTATGTGAATGTGATACCGTCTACTCCCGGTATACTCACGTGACCTGCCTTTGGGCAGGTGAAACGGCCGAGTATAAGAGGAGGTAGTGCGGTTGTTTTTGTGATAGATGTGTGAGGACCCTAAGGGGTCTTGCGAGCCCATACGGCTCGAATTCTTACCATGTCGGATGTTTATGACCAGGTTGTGAAGGGGACCCATAAGTTGGTCCCCCAGTTTAAGTTGTTTTGCGTTTGAGTTGACAAAGAGGATCCTTAAGTAGGCCCTCAGTTGAGTTATCCTAAGGTTGAGACCCCTTCGGATTATGGAAGGTGGAAATGTTGTTTATTGACATTTATAAAAGCGAGGTAGCATGATCGCCCATCCTGTAAAGAGAGGGGTGGCTGGGAGGCCTGTTGAGAGAGACCTCCTTCATGTGAAAAGAGGGGGGGGGGGTTAACAGATTTAAAGGCATGGAAAGCAATGCTTGAACTGATAAAGTCTGACGAGAGGAACCAGGATTACGGTTGGGATTATTGGTGGAACTGAGAGGGTCGCAAGCCGGTGCATTAAGATGTCGTGGGATATGTGGTCTACTGACTCTGATCAGGTCAGCGGGTCACGGCCTGGTGTGAGCCTAGTGGTGAGGTTGTTTATGATTGTGAGAGGGCGCCGTGTCCTCTATATTGTCCCATAGGAAACTGATAAACACCTTTGAAAGTGAGACAGACCCCTGCGTAGTCCCGCAGTGGGCCTGTGGTCTGTTTTGCGACGCACCGTCTACACACCTGCGCTAATCCTAAGGCATATTGAGGAATAGCAAGCTAAACGGTAAAGGTTAGCACCTCTAGGGCGCAACCCCTATTGGATGGCTGCAAGCTACTACAACCTAGCTGCGGGCCCACGTTCAGCCAAGGGGTAAGAGTTTAAGGGGTTATGCACGCCTCAAGGAAATTACTCCGATAGGATGGCGTGGGATACGAGTCGAGTCATTTGATTGTCCTGACTGAATGCTTATCAGGAGAAGACCTATCATTGTGTAACCAACGAAGGGTGTTGTCATTAAGCTAACAATGCGATAGGCCGTACCCCTGGCTTGATCAACCAGGCTATGGTGGGCCAAGACAGAGACCTAGCCTCTCTATACTAAACTGCAGAAGAGGCTGAGAGAAGACTTAAGTATACATATATATATACTCGATTGTGAGAATTTTCATGAGGAAGGCAAGTGTGCCTTTTGAGGTCTTGTTAAGGTCCGCGTCCCCGGATCTGACTTTGCTTACGGGAAAGAGTCTAACTGGGACACCCAACGAAAAGTCGGCGTTTGTCTAGGATGAAGGGGAGAGGACGGTTTGAGGTGGCCTTTGGAACTTATGTTGTAGTATTGATGCATAATACAACGGCGTCCTAGCATCGGGACAATGGAAACCCAGGTTGAAACTCTGGCAGCATATAGTTATGACGGCACAGATTGCTGGAGGCCTCAACCCTGAGTCTATCGGCTTATCGGATTGGTTCCGTTCCCGTCAGCAGTTGGAGCGTGGATGAATTTATAGCTTTCTGATTTGGCGTAGCGACGCGGATGTCGCTTAATGTAGTCCTGTAGATTGTCGGCGCGAATACCCTTACAAGGGTATCCGCCCTCGTTTTTGTAGATGACGAAAGAAATGGGCTTGATCGAAATAAGTCGTTCGAGGTACGACCGCGTCCGGGAACCGGCTTGGCTAAGTTAGAGAAGTATATGGGCGCGCAGTTTTAAGGCGAGCGTGTGATTTTTCGGATTTGAGTGGGCGGCCGGTTTAGCCGGTCGGCCCAGACTGTGCTATGGGTTGGTTAAGGGGTGAGAGCTCGTTCCTGGTTGGCATGTGCGACCGACAGTAGGACACGCGAGCGGTGCGGCCACGGCGCGGTCTAAGTAAGCTGGCGCGGGTGCCTAGTGTCGGCACGCCGGTTGCAGGTGGGAAAAGAGGGTTTGGTCTGTTTTTCCCAGGCCTAGGCGCCACACAGCACCACTTCATACTGAAGCTCGTGCTCCGTTGTCTCAAGCATGGGCATAGCCCTATAGGTTACGGTGGCGGACTACTGCTATGGAGGCACGGGGATCGAACCCGGCGGGCGTCGGCGCGGCGGCGGCGGAGCGTCACGGAGGAAACTGAGGGGGTTGAGGGCCCGACGGGGCTATCCCCCCTTGGTTTTGGTGGTGGGCGCGACTATGGACCCGGTCCATGGGACCGGTGGGGTACCAGAGGCCCCCGCTCCCCGTCTAGGATCGTTTCTACGTATAAAGGTTATTTTGTTTATCCTTGTTTTTATTTTTATTCCTATTTTTTTTGCTTTCACTATTATTTCGTGGGCCCGTTTCTTTGGTCTGGAGCGCGGCACCGCGGCTGGCTGTCTAAAATTTGAAGAGTCGCGGGTGGGGTACCACCGCGGCTAAGTCCGTCGGGGGAGTTGTTAGTAGTGGAACGATACGGGGAAGATTTGTCGGGCCACGGGGCGGGGGTGGCACAAGGGGGTCCGGAAGTGAACCCGGACGCCGGCAGGGCTAGGTCCCTACAGAAAGCAAAAAGCATGGCAACTGCCCCACACCCCCGCGTCAAACTGAGCGGCCTCTGGTACCACTGCGGGGCATCGCGTGGTCGGGGACTTCGGGACCTCCGACAGAGGTTGGGTGGCACTGGGGAGGCTGACGCGGCCTGTATACATGGATGATGTGTATAAATCGGGGCGGGCCCCGACAGGCTGATGTTTTGGAAGATCGGGCACTGTCGGACCGCACAGTGTCAGGGAGACGGGGGCGCGCCGGTAGGGAAGGTAGAGGGAGGCGAGGACGGGCAAGGCAAAGCGAGCGATGGGCGTCGAAGCGGAAAGGTGAGGTAGAGGAACAGCGGGCGCGGCACTGGCAGTAGCAGGTAGGACGAAGTGGGGGGACCCGGCGGGGTTTCCCGGTCAGGTGTATTCGGGCTGAGAGTCGGAGGTGGCGGAGTGACGGGTGCTGGGGCAGCGAGCGGCAAGAGCAGGAGAGAGAAAGAGGCGGGGTAATAGGCCAGAAGAAGGGGGCGAACCCGGACGCGAGGTGGTGTCGGGTGCATGCAAGTGGAAAACGGGGATGGCGGAGAGGAAGGTGAGGCACAGCGGAAGGAAACCGGCGCGTACGGCTCCCTGCGAAACTAGGTGAGGGAGAAATTGGGACGGGAGCTTGAAGGCAAGGCGAACCCGATGGTGAGAAGGGAATGGCGACTGATGGAACGTAGTGGGGGGTAGGAAGAAAGAGGTGTGCGGGGAGCGACGTCGGGGGGGGGGGGGAAGTTGCAATATATCGGTCAATTTTCGACCGATTTTTACGATTTAAAATGCTAAACCAAGTCGTTTGGGTCGGGCGATTTCAGCAACGGTGTTAGTTTGAGTGATGGGTTAGTAGATAGAGGGGAGGATAGAAAAAGGGACGTGCGGTGGATAGCGGGAGAGGTCGGCCATAGCAGAGAGGAAAGTTTGGGAGGAAAAACTGCAAAGCCCACTCGAGTCCTTGCGAATTTTGGGCAGGTGGAGGAGGGAGCCGGGGGTTCCGATGCATTACGGACCGGTCGGTTGCATCGGACCCTTGGTCTGGGCAACGGATTGAGTAGCGAGCCCGATGCGAGCTGCGCCCGGGCTATTGCCCCAAGGAGGTGAGTGTACCTGCCCGCAGCTTAGCGGAAGATTCACTCTGGCTTCGCCCATCTTATCGATGGGAGTAGCGGGGGACCAGCCATGTGTATGGAGACTTACCCGATGGTCGAGTGCATTCGCGTGCTAATGGGCGCTATAGAAGGGATGTGGGCGAGATAAGAATCGAACTTACCTGTGTCTTTGTTCGAGACCATCTGTAGCAGTTGAGCGGCAGGCTGCGAGGTTTTTGGAGAGCCGCCTGTTGGCTGGCCGTTTACTGAGCCGACAGTTGGTGAGTTACTGTTGGTGGAGCCGTGTGAACTACGATCCGCAAAAGATTGTT